AGATCTGGGTTTGAAGAAGAAAGGGAAAGGAAAGGTGAAGGAGAGAGAGTGAAAGGGAAGAAGAAAAATTTTTTTTTCTGACGTGGATGCAAAAAAAAATATTATTATTGTTAAATTAAATAAAATGCCAACTCATAAAAAAAATAGTTAACTATGTTTTTTTTTTTCCATGTCATTGATTAAGAAAAAAAAAGAATTGATTTGTTGGCATTTTAACGTGCCACCTGTCATTTAACTGACGGAAGGACCATTTTGGTACCAAAAATGAAAGTCTAAGGATAATTTTGGTACTTTTTAAAGGTGAAGGACAATTTTGGTACCAAAGTAAAAAGTTGAGGGACCAAAATGGTACTTAAACCTAGATTGTTTACGAATTTATAAAATTTTTGAAGTTATTTTGATGTTTGTTTGTTATTTTTGTTTCAAGTAAATCACTTCAGATGAAATAAAGTGACCTTAATTAACACAAGGAACTGACCTCGGACGTAGTAAAATGAATAGCAGGGTAATTGACTTCGGATAGCCATAAGCCATACCTCAACTATAGATGAGAAAAGACGAAGTAAAGTACTTCAAAAATAAAGTGTAACTGTTTAATAAGATTATAACCCAGAAAATGAAGTGACTGAATGAGTCAGAATGAACTGACTTCAGAAATAAGTGAAATCCACTTTCAACGTATAGAAGGGTACACAGAACTTAATTATCTCGAATGTGAAGTGAAATTTATTAATGAGATAAATGAATCGAGTTCAAATACACATTAGGTTGAGCAGAAGGAGTGAAAGCAATAACGATTAAGACAAAATTCACTTAAATGAAGTATACTTAAGGGTAAAACTTCTTCAAGTTATTGACATTCCAGACTCTAGGAACCCGTTTGCCTTCGGTGTCCCGCAGGATATAAGCACCTAAGTGCGGCACTTCGGCTATAGTGTAGGGGCCTTCCCAGTTTGGTGCTAACTTTCCAAATCGAGTTTCGAACCCCGTTAGACCAGCTTTCCTGAGAACAAGGTCTCCTACCTTGAATGTTCGGGGTCGAACTTGTTTGTTGTAGAAGTTTGCTATTTTCTGCTTGTAGACTAGAGTTTGAAGTCGTGCTTCTTCTCTGACTTCATCAAGCAGATCAAGGTTCTCCCGAAGCAGTTGTCCATTTCGTCCTTCATCGAAATGGGTGACCCTGAAGCTTAGGACTCCTATCTCGATAGGAATGACTGCTTCGGTACCAAAGGCTAGATGATAGGGTGTTTCACCTATTTCAATTAATTATAACTTTAGAATGCGCTTTACGCGTTATGTATATTTGTTCTAAAGTAAAGCCGTAGCAGAGGAAGGAAAACAATGTAAAGTTAATCAAATAGACCAGGTTTAAAGTAATACCTGTGGCAGTTCGGCTCGTGGTTCTGTATGCCCAGAGGACGTTGTTGAGCTCGTCTGCCCATTTGGCCTTGTGCTGTTCCAATCTCGGCTTGATACCTTCTAAGATGCATTTGTTAACAGATTCGACCATGCCGTTGGACTCCGGATGGTAAACTGAGGTGAACTACAGTTTGATCCCGTAGCTGGAACAGAAATCCCGAAATGAGGCGCAATTGAATTGAGTTCCATTGTCAGCTACAATCTGACTCGGGATCCCATATCTGCAAATAATCGACCTGAAAACAAAGTCTTCGACCTTCTTGGAGGTAAGACTGGATAGTGCCCGAGCTTCGACCCATTTTGTGAAATAATCCACACCAACGATGAGATGGGTTACACCTCCTACCCTCTTCATAAATGGACCTAAAAGGTCAAGACCCCACTGAGCAAATGGCCAAGGTGCGACCAGAGTAGTGAGCTCTTCTGCAGGCTGGTGGATTAGATGTGCGAAGAACTGACACTTCTGACACCTCTGTACGAACTGGATGGCATCCTTATACATGTTGGGCCAATAATAACCTTGTCTGAGGACTTTATGGGCCAAAGTTCGAGCACCTACGTGACTTCTGCAGACACCTTCATGCACCTCCCGAAGTGCGTATTCAGCCTTGTAAGGGGTGAGGCAGCGGAGCAGAGGGAGTGAGAAAGATCTCTTGTAGAGGACATCATTAACAAGGGTGTACCGAGATGCCTTCTTCCTCAACCTCATCTCTTCCTGTTTATCCGCAAGCACTGTGCCATCTCGTAGAAACGAGATAATTGGATTTGTCCAGCTCGATGAGCTAGGATCTGTGCTGACCTCCATCATTCGTGGTTTCAAGAAGCTAGGCTCATCCAGAATTTCTACAAAGACCGATCTGGAGCTTTGGTTGCCATTAGAAGCAAACTTAGAGAGGGAGTCTGCTTGCTCATTTTCAGCTCGAGGTATTTTGCTTAAATGGAATTTCTGGAATTTGGATTTCAGTTTGGCCACTAGAGTTGCATACTTCATCATAACAGGATCAACCACCTCACAAACTGAGTTGACTTGATTAACTACTAGCTGTGAGTCACTGTATATCTGTATCGCTTCAACCTTCAGTTCTGTCGCCAGTTGTAAGCCAAGTAGCAAGGCTTCGTATTCGGCCATATTGTTGGTGGCATCAAAATTAAATTTTAGAGCGTGTTCGCTTCGGTACCCATCTGAGCCGAGTAAGATTGCACCGGCGCCAGAACCTTTGTTACTTGATGCGCCATCAACATACAGAATCTAGCTGTCCACCTCGGACTGGGAATCAGAGTGAGCCGAGGTGCATTCTACTATGAAATCGGCAAGAGCCTGAGCTCGGATGGCTGACCTCTGCTGAAATGTGATCTCGAATTCTCCCAGTTCAACTGCCCATTTGATCAATCTCCCCGAACATTATGGCTTCTGCAAAATTTGCCTGAGGGGCTGGTCCGTGAGGACTATGATTGGGTGTGATTGGAAATACGGTATCAGTTTCTTGGCCGAAGTGACAACTGCTAAGGCTGTTTTCTCAACAATGGAATATCTGACATCAGCTCCGTGTAGCACGCTACTGATGTAGTACACTGGTTTCTGGTGCTTTCCCTCTTCCCTTACTAACACAGAACTGATAGCTTCATCTGATATGCCGAGGTATAAGTAAAGGATTTCTCCATCATCAGCCTTTGTCAGCAAAGGAGGCGAGCTAAGATAAGACTTCAGCTCGTCAAATGCAGCTTGACATTCTGAATTCCATGTAAACTTCTTTTCTTTGCCAGATTCATCCTTCTGAGCTGCCGATCTCATAATCTTGAAGAACGGCAGGCATTTATCTACTGATTTCGAAATGAACCTATGAAGGGCTGCTACTCTCCCTGTCAACCTCTGCACATCTTTTACTGACTTCGATGGTTCCATCTCGGCTACTGCTTTGATCTTCTCGGGGTTAATCTCAATTCCCCTTCTGGACACCATGAAGCTTAGGAATTTTCCCGACTCCACACCGAAGATGCATTTTGCTGGATTTAACCTCATTCTGTTCTTTCTGAGGTTGTTGAATGTCTCCTCGAGGTCGGTTAAGTGATCTTCAGCTTTCAAACTCTTCACTACTATGTCGTCGACATAAACTTCCAGATTTCTGCCTATTTGAGCTCGGAATACGATGGTAACCATCTTCTGGTAAGCGGCACCCGCGTTCTTCAAGCGAAAGGGCATCATCATGTAGCAATAGATTTCATCGCCGGCATAGAACGAGGTTTTCTCTTCGTCTTCTGGAGCCATTGGCACCTGGTGATATCCTGAATATGCATTCAAGAGACTTAATCTCTCATTTCCCGAAACTGCCTCAACCAGCTTATCAATGTTTGGCATTGGGTAACAGTCCTTTGGACATGCATTGTTGTGGTTAGTGTAATCGATGCACATCCGCCATTTACCGTTTGCTTTTTTCACCAGCACCGGATTGGCGACCCACTCACAGTAATCGACCCTTCTGACAAAACCAGCTTGTAGGAGTTTCTCGACTTCTTCTTTAATAACTTTTAACCTCTCCCCCCCAAAGAGGCGCCGCTTCTAGGCTACTGGTTTCTTGAGTGGATTGGTGCTGAGTTTATGTTGAGAAACTGAAGTGGGAATTCCCGGCATATCTGCTGAAGTCCATGCAAAAACATCTTTATTGGCCCAAAGAAAAGCTATTCGCTCTGCTCTTTCCTCCGGGTTCAATTTGGTCCCAATTTGTGTTTTTCGGCTCGGATTTCTGTCATCAATCTGTACCTCTTCCACATCTTCGACTGGAGCAGCTCTGGTTTCATCTTTTGGTCGGTTATCCACTATCTCCACACCCATAACTTGCCGATCGTCAGGAATCCGTTTGGGATTGACCTCGGGTGTCTGATCTTTGCCCTTCTGAGGTTGTGTGACCGAGGTGATATAGCAATGTCGGGCCACCTCCTGGTTGCCTCGCAGCGTTGCTATTCCCGTAGGAGTTGGGAATTTCATGCAGAGGTGAGACTGGGAAACCACGGCTCAGATTGCAGTCAGCGTGGGTCGGCCAATAACAACGTTGAAGGAGGACGCCATCTTGACTACTAGAAACTGGACAGAAGGAGTCACATAGGTTCGGCCACTCCCAAATGCAACATTCATGGTTAGGGCACCTTCAACTGGAACTGGCTGGTTATTGAAACCATAGATGGGACCATCATATCTCTGCAATAATGCCGGATCTAGTCCAAGACTCTCAAAACAGTGGAAGTACATGATGTCTGGTGCACTCCCAGTGTCCACAAGGACGCGTTGTACTTCACAGTTGTTAATCAGGACAGAAGTGACCAGAGGATCATTGTGGGGTATAACAACTGTGTCGAAATCAGTAGATGTGAAAGTAATAGGTTGATTCTTCCAGTCAGCATCATCAAACTTTCGTTTCTGAGCTCGGTTTGGATGCTTAACCTCTCTAACATACAACTTTCGCTGTTTAGAGCTCAGTCCACCGGCTTCCAGGCCTCCCGTAATCATGTGTATGATTCTAGCTGGTGGTGGGAGCGGGGTGAGGCTTGCTGATATCCCACACCTTGCCTGTTTGGGGGATTGCGGACTCCTTGATGCTGTGACCCCTGTTCTCTGACAAACTGTGGCTGTTCAACTCTCTGGATGTACTCATTCAACATTCCTTTCTGAGCCAGACTTTCCAGCTCGGACCTCAGACTATTGCATTGCTCTGTTGTATGACTGTGATCTTGATGAAAGTCACAATACCTAGTATGATCTCTGGTAGCAGCGGCAGTTCTCATTGGACTTGGACGCTTTAAGTCCATCTTATTCTTAATCTGCATAAAGATTTGTGACCTCGGTAAATTAAAAGGAGTCCAAGTAACTGGAGGTTTACCTGCAGGTTGCTGTGGAGGTGCTGAGCTCGGCCTTCCGAACCTCGGGGTGAAAGTCGGCATCGAACCTCGATTCTGTGTTGTCCTCATCCATTTTCTGTTCGGATTCTCATCTCCCCAGTCCGGGCATTGGTTCTTAATAGGAGTTGGGTTCTGCGACAAGGCATATTCCTCAACAGTGATGAATTTCAGTGATCTATCATTTACCTCGCTGAAGGTGGTGGCAGGATGTTTAAGCAGACTATCTCTGAATCTCTCATGGCTAAGACCTGAGATCACAGCTGTAATTCCCACAACCTGGTCGAAGGAGTTAACCTCTAGTACTGCATCATTGAATCTGCTCATAAAATTCTTCAAAGAGTCTTCGTCCCTCTGCCTGACTTGCATTAGCTCGGAGGTAGTTTTCCTGATCAACCTTCTACTGGAAAACTTTGTGGCAAAAGCAGATGCCATTTCTGTATAAGAGCTGATTGACCTCGGAGGTAGACTATAGTACCAGGTTCGAGCATTACCTCGGAGAGTAGAGGGAAAGATTTTGCACATCAACGCATCAGAGGTGTTTTGGGCTTGCATACAAGAGTAAAAAGCATGGAGATGATCATCGGGGTCCTTCGTCCCATCATAAGTTTCGAGTTGTGGTATCCTGAAGCCAGCGGGGTAGGGTTCCAATGTAATGTTGGTGTTCAAAGGATGGGGTATGGAGTCAGCAGCATGGTGTGCATGTGGGGCACCTCGCTGTTCAGCCACTAGCTTTTCTAAGCTGTCCAGACGTCGAGTGACATCATCATGAAGGGGTTGCTGAATTGGTGCGAAGTGAGATTGGCCCTGAGATTCACTAATAGCAGTAGCATGCTGAATTGGTTCAGGATTTTGTTGTGGAGCTGGGGGTTGTGGAGCAGGATTGAGAAGGTTGATGAGTGGATCACCAGGATTGTTCTGGGCTAATAGCTAAGCCAGCACTAGCTGAAAGACACCAAACTGTTGTTGCATGGCAACGGGTTGAGTTGTAACTACGTCTTGGTTAGCAGTAGAGGCTGAGTTGTGAGCCGAGTTGTGTGGCTGATTTTCATCTCCTCCTTCTGCATGGTCAACATGAGGGAGTGTATTTGGGATCGGGGGTGGGGGGTGAGGAGGTGGTAGGTTGCTGGGGGCTTGACCTCGTCCAAGAGGCTGAGATGAATTTCCAGCCCGGACTGATCGAGTGTGAACCATGATGAGAGAGTAACAGCTTTTAGTTCGAGTTCCCACAGACGGCGCCAAATGTAATTGCACCAAACCAGATGTCCTTCTTTAGTCCGTATCTGCGCTCCGAATCGACCTGCAAAGCCCCGAGATGGATCTTGGGGTAGACACTCCGATGCTTAAGTCAGCAATAATCGGGGCTACCAATAGAGCGAAGACTAGAGGAGCTTAGGGTTGGTTTCAATTACCTTCCTGTCTTGACCCTTGAGGGGTATTTATATGTTCCAATGAAGAACCCGTGTTGCCTGCCAAGCAAGATGCTCGGGATCGGGAAATTAAGCCAAGCAAGATATTCGGGATCTGATGTGTATCTCCAGATGGTTATTTCGGGACCGGGGAATTGAGAGATATTTATATGCGATAATGTCCGTCATAGCTGCTGTGCAGCTGTTCGAGCGGGAAGCCCTGGATTTACTCTTCACTCCGGTTGTAAAGGAATTACTGTCATACGTCCGAGGTTGGGCACCTCGGTCTTGCTCTTACAATTTCTAACAATATATCTGCGTATTCCTATAAATATTTCCAAATGAAAAAGGCAACATAGTATGACATGATGTGCGCATGTTTGGTGCAGATTCTTGGAAGGACTTTTTCAGTGTAAAAGTTCAAGCCATGCCAAACGCTAGAACTTTTAGTTTTTGCTTCAATTGTTGAGAAGCTGGTCTTGTCCTCTGGCCTTTGTGTAATTGCACCAAACTAGAAGTCCTTCTTCAGTCGCGTCTTCACTCCAGATGAACCTGCAAAGCCCCAAGGTGAGTCCTCGGGGTAGACACTCCGATGCTTAAGTTAGCAATAATCGGATCTACATTTAGAATTATGGAAAAAAGAGCTTTAGGTCGGTTTCAATTACCTTTCTGAGGTCGTCCCTGGGGGGTATTTATAGGTCTTAGTGAGGTGTCCACATGGCTTGCTTAACAAGATAATCGAAGTGTGACGTGTCCCTTCAGGCGATAATTTTGGGACCGAGAAATTATGTGTGATAAATCAAGTGTGATAAATCAAGTGTGGGCATGTTCACTGTATTTATCATGCAGCCATTTGACTGGGAAGTGCTGGATTTCACTTCACTTTAGTTATTAAGGAACTGTAGTAGTACGTCCGAGGTTGGGGACCTTGGATCTATCCTTACACTATTCTCCCTCGAAGTCATTCACTTGTGAATGATGTTGTTAAAGGTGGTGGGAGTAGTGTATAATTAGGTGAAAGGAGGAATGGGAGAATATTAGAGTTGAGTTACTAGAGTCATAATTAAAATAAAAATTGGTAACTCAAATTCATGTATGGCCGTAACTAAAGTAAAATATGTGACACGGGGTCACTGTGGCCATAACCGAAATGAAATGTGACATGAGATCAAAATGGCCGGAGCCGAAGTAAAATATGTGACACGAGGTCACTATGGCCATAACCGAAATGAAATGTGACATGAGATCAAAATGGCCGGAGGCGAAGTAAAATATGTGACACGGGATCACTATGGCCAAAGTCGAAGTAAAATATGTGACACGGGGTCACTATGGCCAGAGCCAAAGTAAAATATGTGACACAGGGTCATTATGGCTGGAGTCGAAGTAAAATATGTGACACTGGGTCACTATGGACAGAGCCGAAGTAAAATATGTGATACAGGGTCATTATGGCCGAATTCGAAGTAAAATATGTGACACGGGGTCACTATGGCCATAGCCGAAGTAACAAGTGTAGGTTGAGGTTACCCGAGGTGAAACACTTGTGAAAGTGAGAAATATTCATGTGAAAGTGAACAGAAGCATTGGGTTGGGCTTAACTGGGCTCGTTTGAAAAGCCTGACCTAGAGTTAATACATGACGTGACAGTTGTCTTTTGAAAGACGTGTACAATAAATACGGGCTGGAAAAGTAACTGCTGTAATTAAATAGACGGAATGGAATACGAACCAACGAATTCGAGAGGTTTCCATTAAGAATTAACCGTTGAATTCAAAACGGTGTAACCGTGACTGTCAGATGAAAGTAGTCACAACCGTTGAAGCATATATTTGCTTTGGAATATCTAGTTATCGTTCTGTAAAAAGGATTTTACTTTTGCTGTATTTTCTATCGAAGTGCTGCCAAAATTTCTACTGTGTTCTTGCATCTGGACTGTTGCATTCTTTGTGGACTTCTACATCAATCTTTCAAGGCTGATGAGCTAATTCCACTCTAGCAAGTGTACTAGTCTGTTCAACTAATATAATGATGAAAATAAAGTATCGTCCCACAGAGACCGTAGACTAATTAAGTACCAAAATTAATAAATTCTAATTTTATTTGAACAATTGAAATTAAATGATTTGAATAAAGTAAATAACTAAACTAATTAAAGAAAAACTAAATTAACTTTAATTAACACCAAGAATTAAAAGTCTAAGGCATCCGACTTCACCATCATCAACTAATATAGAATTTTAGATCAATATACTTCCATGGTATTTATTATTCATGTGACAGCAGGATTTCCAAATTTATTCAATATACTTTCTCAAGTTATACCAAACCTATCTTCACCTATTAACCCACTATATCTCTATGTGAATTTAAATAGATAAAGAC